ACACTCTATACTCTAGCTGCCATCCAAGTATCAAAGCCTAATCATTTCTAATTAAACGGCAAACAAACAAATTTACATTTATTGAGGCAACAATAACAAAAACTATAAAGACGGCATACAAATGGAAAACTTTCACTGCGCAATAAGGCGCAAAAATTGCAAGCTGATAAGGAAGCAAAGTGCAAACCGAAAGCTTAGAATAAACACTCGAGAAATGCATTGATAAGAATAGTGATATAGAAGGGTAGGGTGGGATTGGGGTGGTGCCCTACCTTCCTCCTGTTACCCCTCTTAATTTATGGCTATTTGACCTACGTCAAAGCAAAAACAAAGTGATTACATATATAACCTGGCGCCTAACTCAAGGGCATTCACAAAGCAAAAGCTAAAAAAAATTAAAAAAGTTTAATTAAAAATTCAACCTAATTATTTTGGTTTTTGTTATTCAAATTTTATACTTTCGATTTTTGAATTTTAATTGATTATACTACACAGAAAAAAAACAAGATTATTTATTAAACTTTTTTACTCTTATTTGCTTATATAATATATATTCATATACTTTCGCTTTTTATTGTTTTTGTTGAAAATAAATTTTAAATTGAATTTTAATGAATGAGTACGTTTATTAACTGTCAGATTCCCAAATGACTTGACTGTACAGTAGGGACATGTTAATAAACGTCATTTGAAGCTCCTCTCCTCCATTTTTTAGACTCTCTCCTCAAAGAGGAGCATGCACTCGTTTGGGGCATGCGCCGTGGCAAGTAACAATGCACACTGTATGTTTTCAAGGTTAAAGTGCAACGAAACCTCAACACAATACTTGCCCCGAACAAAAACAAAGCCAAAATGGGGTGGTTTTCAGTTAAAAAGGGGTCTGATGATATGTGGGTGGGATAAGCATATAAAAAAATAACTGGAATACCTTTTGTTCAATGTCCTTGAAATGGTGATATTAATTTCGCGACACTTTGATTAGATAATCACCTGCTAAACACACCCACTGTACCCATTTTGGTTTCGCAATGCGGATGAGCGAGACGAAATGCCACAATTTGTTGTTGTTGTTGTTGTTGTTTTCGCATTCAATTCGCATGCACATTCTCAACTTGTGACTCAAGGTTATGATGATGATGATGCTCTAGCCCGCCTCCCCCTTTTTTTTTGCCTTTGTTCCCTTTTTTTTTTTTAGAAAAAGCTCACACAAATTATTATTACACAGACAGTGGCGGTGGGGCGTCGCTGGGGGGCTGTGGCTTGGGGCGGCAGACAAATAGCGCACAATTTTATTTTATCAGCTGCCCCACCTCACTAGCCCCCTACTCCCGCCCCATATGCAGTTTTCGTTTCGTTTTTCGCTTTTCGTTTCGTTTTGCACATAAAACTAAATGCAAAACTCCCCTCGGTTGCCTCCCACGGCTCTGGGCCCCCCCACCATTATTCACTTTACATTTCCGGGTTCTGGGTACTCGATTCTCTAGGCACACACCCTGTATTCATCTGCCTGGCCAACAATGGAAATTATGGATTAACTAATAGCGCTGTAATACCCTCGAAAGTGTAGCGAATTCAATGTCATAATATATCAGAGACCATAACGAAAGATCAAAGAATGTTTACAAGGAAGTACTAGTACGATCTATAAAGGGGATTATCCCTAGATTTGTTTATTTCTTCTTAAATATTCCAAAACTAAAACTATAAAGCTAGATATTTTTAAAGAGAATACAACCCCTGTTAACCCACTGTCATGGCCATTAAATAAATATTTACATTACACTTGGAAAAAACATCGTTAAATTTGTTTATTCATTGAAACTACTTAGCGGCGTTGATTTCCTACTTAGATAGAGCGGGATGGCGCATAGCTGCAATTTATGACTGCAGTGCCTTCAGCCGAGTGCAGTTATCAGTTGAACGTGTATATGAGTATATATATTATATGATATTATATATAGGTAGTACTCTATATATAGGTAGTACAGTTTTACGATTCACTTTGTCCTTGAGCCGGCGATTCCAAGCGATCACATTTGGGGCTCTGTTCGGTTCTCTGTTTTCTGTTTCTGATTCGAATTGCTTTCCGCATTGCCATTTGATAAAGATCAGAGCATAGAAGAGCTTTGCGGAAGCCAACAGGGCGTATGCGCAATGTGCCAGGGGAGCACTCTTATCAGAATGCACTCGTTCGTTCGGGTCGTTGGCGTTCAAGTTGAATGCTGACTATTCCTCTTATTTGAAATTAACAATTCTTGTGATTATTAGACCCAGCACTACTTTTATATTTATTTTTAATTTGACGCGGCCACCCTCTCACTCGCACTCGAGCTCCCTATCGTCGAGTGGGTGTCCTTCAAATGCAATTGTGCGATGATTAGAAACGCAAAGCGCCAACCGATTTTTACTTTTTGTTTCTAATGCAGTCGCTTCTCTATATACAAGTCTCTAGTACTGAGTAGTATGTGTGCAGCTGTTTATTTTCATTTTCAAAGCGATAGCGAAAAGCTTTTTGGCGCGCTATCTGCAAACACACATACTCACGGATACGTACTCGCACGTATACGTATGTACGTACTTACGTACAATATGTAACTAACAGATACAGATACGGTTGCAGTTGTTTATTTTAATAGAATTTTGTTGATTTTTGTACGGTATGCATGACAAGACTTTCGACTTCCTAGTGCGGCCAACGCATCTGCATCTGTATCTGAATTCTCTGGCGTTGTAATTGCGACAAAAAGGGTCGATCGAAAATCGAAAGTATCTCGCCAAATGAGCAGCAATCTTCCTCATTTCGTCTGCATATTTTTGTCTGACGGCGCCAGCTGGCAAACCCACACACTTTTCTTCTTGGGCATCTCAAAACCGCCGAAAATAAAATCAACTCAAATAATAGCCAGCCAGAAAATCACTTTCTGCATATCGTTTTCGCACATTTCCGCATCAAAATGAAATTCGCAAGTGCAAGTGCAAGTGCATCAATAAGTACATACACAATTACACTCTTACATACATACAAGTTCTGGCTGTGAGATTCGCAATATGTGCATAAAAGTCGGGACGGGCAATTTTTGCATCCGTGTCGCCCGATCGCCGGGCTCGGAAAATTCGCACGGGCGGACAGTTCGCATTCTACGTGCGTACAGTTTGACGATCGGACCTCCTTTTAGCCACTTGACTTTATACGGGGGAGTTTTGCAAACAATATATCATACTACTATATATATTTATTACATATATCCATACTAGATTGGGTGAGTCCATAACCAACCCTCCTCTTCAAAAAAAAAACCCTTAAAAGTGAACTTCCTGGTTGTGCCAAGGCCTGGCCATTAACTTGATTGGGGGGCTGGCGATAATATTTTCAAATTATTAGGTAAAGCTTAGGAGAGTCTGATAAGATTAGTAGTTCCAGGTATTTCCTGAATATGGCATTTCCTGAATAACTAAAAGGATCCAAGGGGAAATCCCTTTATCTTCTAAAAGTTACTTTAATTTCTATGATAGAGAATGATATTCTTTGTAAAAATAAATTATTTTAACTATCCTATCTTAACTATTTTTTTTTTTATTTAAATAGGTCTCTTAAATACCCTTATATCTCCTATCCATTTGATATATATTATAACTTCCTCATTTCTAAGAAGGAATCAGCCTTGCCCAATAATTTCTTGATTGCGCAGCTGAATATTTGAAAAAAAAGAACCCAATAGACCATTAGAAATAATCCGGAAGCAACCACCAATGAACCACCGCTGCAACCACCAGACGCACCACCGAGGCAGCGAAAAAAGCTTTCTGCCGGAAAGCGTTTTCTGCCAATCCCAACCCTCTCGCGCTAAAAACTTTCCGAGCTCGGAATCTCTGGGATGCGTTCGTGTTGCAGTAGTGAGTGCATAAATGCCGGCAACCGTGTCTGGGTGTGCGAGTGTGCAGTTTTCGAGCTTTTTTGGGGTCTATGCCGGTTGGATGTGGGTCAGTAGTAGGAACTCTCAGTTGGCGGCGTCAACGTTTTCATAGCTCTTCTTCACCAAAAAAAAAACAAAATATATATAAAATATAAAAAAAATTAGAAACAATTAAGAAATAAATAAAAAAAAGTATAAATATTGGCCTGAAACTTTGTTGCTAAATTTGGTTTTTAAAACCAAATTTTTTTCCGTCTTTGGATTTAAAACAAAAAGAAATGTTTTTGTTCTAATGAGAATGGAAAGTAGAACCACCAGCAGGAGGTCCGCCGTAGATAGCAAACCCAGGCCGGACAGCCGGAGAACTGTTCCGAGGCGGGCGACGGGCCACACGGCGTATGCGTAACGAGACGAGAACGAAACAGAAAGTGATGCGTAATTTGCGGGCCCAACTGAAAAGAATCGAAACAAAAAATATTTAACAAATAAATCAAATATTGATGCCAATCAGTGCGAAAATAAAATCATCAATTAGCAGTTCTATATTAATTAAGAATCGTCGAAACAAAATCATCCAAAATATATCCAAATAATCTGAAAGCAATGTAAGAAAAGAGAAATACAAATGCATAAGCAGAACGAGAGTACAAAATGCAGAAAAACGGCAGCCAAATTAAGGAAAATAAATCAAGTGAGTTCTTTATCGAGGAATTTCCCTTCCGATTTTCCATCGGGGGCTGCTGGGGGCAGGCGGGTATGCCCCTGAACGTGAACGTGTAACCTCCACTGAGGCCGTAATCTTGAACTGCCCCGCGGCCCTTCAGCCCTTGCCATTTTCTCCCCATTGCTAAAATCCCACTACTCGCCACTCGCCGGCGTTTTACAGTTAGCTTTTTGTAGCCAGCGAGACACGAATGCAACGCTGTACAGTTTTTAGGGGGAGCTTTTCTGGGGAAAAGGGTGCTGCCTCTGGGGGAAGCAGGTGGGCAGGTCGAGGGGGATGCATGGGTGACTATTTATAGCGCCAAATCAAAAATTTTCATCTATATTTAAACCACTTTTCTTTTCGCCTTTGTTCTCTTCCAGATCAAGTAGAACTTCAACTAGCAGAATAAGCAGCAACCACTAAACCCACTATATATACACATATATAGACATATATATATAGCGTAAGCAGATCAACACCATCTAGCTGTAGTCACCATGCATGGACACCACCACACTCATCTGCAACCACAACAGCAACAGCAACAACAGCAGCTGCCACAGAACTCACAGGGCCAGGAGCCGGGAGCAGCCATGATGAAGGCAGCGAATCATCCACTCAGCCATCCCCACAACCATGCCCAACCCCACCCACATCCACATCCGCATCCACACCACAAGCTGTCGGCGGCGAGAAGGGCGCGCAGTCGCAGTCGAAGTCGCAGCCCGACGCCGGACGGCAATCAGGACTACGATGTGACCAGGATGCGGGAGGAGGACTTCCAGCGCCTGGCCGTCTATCTGGTGCCGGACGTGCAGGCCGAGCGGGGGCTGCCCAATCGGGCGGACAAGACGCTGCCCCGCAGCCTGACGCTTAAGTCATCCATGGTCTACTCAACGCCAAATGTTAAGGTGAGATTTTGTGATAAAATATATATATATATTTAAGAATATATATTAAAGTCAGTAAGTTATAAATTAAATTGGTATTTTATATTCTTGTATCCTTTACAGACTGAAGGAGTTTGGAGCAGCGGTGTCATCCCACGAGGCACTCGCTTTGGCCCATTCGAAGGCATTCCAACCTCAAACTATCCCAATGATAAGAATAAGGCGCGATATTTCTGGCGGGTAAGGATCTCTTATAATTTCTACACATTTCTCATAAAACAAAGGGTTAAGCATCTGTTTTTTGTGGGTCTTTCATATGATTTGCATATTATATTTGCTTTGCTTTCGGTCACATCTCCTCCCCCAAAGAGGTCTCAATGTGTTGCCTTCATAATCATTATAATTCATAATCATAAAAATAAGAAAAAATCACCTTATCCACTAAATACTTTAATGCTTCCACCCATCCAATCATCCAGCAAAAAAAATCAAAAATAATTAATATGCAACTAACCAACTCGTTTCTCTTTAATTTTTGTTTCATGTGATCTAATCTTAAACCATTCCACAAAACCCAACACAAATCTGTAACCAAAACTATAAACCAAAAACCAAAAAAAAAAATTCAAAATTCTAATTTTGACTTTTGGAACCAATTCGATTCGATTGCTGTTAATCAGGTGCAGGGAACACGCCACATAACCTACGGGAATATTAAGGTACCACTCACGATTTATGCTTTCTTTGATTTCTATTTGTTGTATTTTAAGTCCTAACTTTCCGACAGCTTTTCCCCCAAACTACATTATTTCCAAAATCAGCACAATATTTCTTACTGTTCTAGCACTGCACTTTCTCCAGGATGTGTTTTTGAAGAAAACTATTTTATAAAATAATCTTTCCATTCCTGAAACTTCAAAGACACATCCTTCCATCTATTTCTCTTGTAGTTTGTTGTGTGTTCTTCCTTGTTGTGCGTTCTATTCACTTCCCTGAGTATCCTTGGACTTTCTCTAACGTTCCTCCCCTTTATTTCATTTTTATTTTCATCTCTAGATCTTCAAAGACGATGACTACTACTATCTGGATGGCTCGGATCGCTCCCAATCCAACTGGATGCGGTACGTGGCCTCCGCCTACAGCCTGTCGGTGATGAACCTGGTGGCGTGCCAGCACCAGGAGAACATCTACTTCTACACCACCCGCGACATCCTGCCCAACGAGGAGCTGATGGTGTGGTACTGCAAGGACTTTGCCAGTCGGCTCGGCTACGACGTGGATCCCGAGCGGACGATCTTCGGCGCTTGCAAACAGGCGGTGGAGGAGGAGGTTGAGGAGGAGGAGGACGAAGCGGATGCGGATGAGCGAGAAGAGGCCGAGGGTGAGGGCAAGCCGCATTACTCCATGCCAGCTCCCGAGATCCCCGCCGAGGTGGCAGTGAGTCACATCACCTACGTGATGGGCCTGCATCTGCCGGTGGGTGCGGGAAGTGCTCCTGGAGCCACCCCCCCTCCATCGGGCAATCCTGCAGGCAATGCCCAGTGCTGCCGCCGCTCCAGTCCACCCGCCCATGTCAGCACCACCTCCTGCCACTCGCACCACCACCAGCAGAACCACCACCACCCCCACATCCAGCATGCTAGCCGCCACGCCTCGGTGATCATCGGACAGGATCGATCGCCGATGGCCCACAGCGACAAGGACACGGCGGGATCCCCGCTCTCCGGGCTGGATCACCAGCTGACCCCGCAGGACGGCAGTGTGCGATCGGTGCGCTCGGACGAGGGCTACCACAGCAACGAGTGCCACGAGGATGGCCTGACCCCGCCCGAGGACTCCAGCGACAGCGAGAGCGAGCACAACTACGTCCTGGACTGCTCCAAGAAGGCCATCGCCCCCAAGGAGACGGTGATTGCCCAGGCCCAGAAGCCGGGCTGCTCTCCTTCGGCGGTCACGGTCTTGGCCAACACCACCTCCTCGACGACGACCAACGCTTCTCTGGGCCACAGCTCCCCCACGACCACGCCCTCCTGTGAGACGGACAAGAACGAGTACCGGAAGTTCAAGGTCAAGATGCCGCTGAAGTACGAGTTCAAGAACAAGAGCTGCGTGAAGCAGGAGCCCAGTCTGAAGGAGATGGACCAGGAGATGTCACTGCCGACGGAGGAGGAGGAGGACCACTCCATGCACCCGGAACCCGACTCCATCTGCCCCTCGACCACCACCCATCTGGGGGATGAGCATTTAATGATTCTGGAGCGAGAGAGGGAAAGGGAGAGGGAGCGTGAGAGGGAGCGAGAGAGGGAGCATCAGTCCAACCAGCAGCCCGCCTCCTCGACGGTGATCGTTCTGGAGCACGGCGGCCCTCAAACCCGCACCATAGTGCCCCTAAGCAAGCCCTACTACGAGGCCGATCCCCCGGGAGAGCGGTACGTGCGATTCGGACAGCCCAGCTCCAGCATCCTGGAGACCATCCTCACCAGCCAGCACCGTCTGGAGGCAGCGGCGGCAGCTGCCAATGCTTGTCGCCAGGCCAACGCTGCCACGCCCCCGCCCACATCGCCCACGGAAATGGCCTACAGCTACAAGAAGTCGCAGCGTTACGGCAATGCCGTGAGTCCGGACAGCAGCTCCAATCTCGGCCAGAATCCCGAGCAGCCCGGCGGAGGAGTAGGAAGCGGAGCCGGCGGAATAGTGGTGGTCAGTGATCCGGAGATGACCAGGGCCACCCTGATCAAGGGAGAGTGCTCGCCACCGCCGCCCAGCCACCATCACCACAATGTGATCTTCTCGCCGTCGCGACATGCCGCCTATCTGGGAGCCAGCGATGCCGGCGGTCACTCCCCGAGTCCCGGGTACCCGGGCTACCCGCACTACGGAGCGGCAGCCACCTCCACGTTCCACTCGCCGCCCCACAGCTCCCATTCCCCCTTCGACCGCCAGTCGAACGCCTCGAGCGGGGCCGGATCCGCCTCCAACTTGCATTTGCTGCAGAGTAGCACCCAGATGCTGAACCACCCACTGATGCAGCCCCTTACCCCGCTGCAGCGCCTGTCGCCCCTGAGGATCTCCCCGCCCAGCAGCCTGAGTCCGGACGGAAATTCATGTCCCCGGAGCGGCAGCCCCCTGAGCCCCAACTCCCTGGCGTCCCGCGGCTACCGATCCCTGCCGTATCCCCTGAAGAAGAAGGATGGGAAAATGCACTACGAGTGCAATGTGTGCTGCAAGACGTTCGGGCAGCTGAGCAACCTGAAGGTCCACCTCCGCACCCATTCCGGGGAAAGGCCCTTCAAGTGCAACGTCTGCACGAAGAGCTTCACCCAGCTGGCGCACCTGCAGAAGCACCACCTGGTCCACACCGGCGAGAAGCCGCACCAGTGCGACATCTGCAAGAAGCGCTTCTCGAGCACCTCCAACCTGAAGACCCATCTCCGGCTGCACAGCGGCCAGAAGCCGTACGCCTGCGATCTCTGCCCCCAGAAGTTCACCCAGTTCGTGCACCTGAAGCTGCACAAGAGGCTGCACACGAACGACAGGCCGTACGTGTGCCAGGGATGCGACAAGAAGTACATCAGTGCCTCGGGTTTGAGGACACACTGGAAGACCACCAGTTGCAAGCCCAACAACCTGGAGGAGGAGCTGGCCATGGCCGCAGCTGCCACATCGGAGTGCTTGGGTAGGTTTCCTGTTAGCTTTAATTATTTTAAAACAAATATTAAATTTTAAATTGCAATTTTATAGATAAAGACCACCCCGAACCGGATTCCCGGGAGGCCTACGAGCAACTGCAGCAGCACATGCATCCTGCTGTGCATCCTGGCTTGAGGCACCTCTCCAATGGCGGTCAGTCGCCTCCCCGTTTGATACCCCTGGGTAGCCACATGCCGCCACAGCAACAGCAGCAGCATCAGCAGCAGCAACAGCAGCAGGGTCTGCCGCCGCCCCATCTTCTGATGGCCCAACATCCGGGCGTGGGTCCTGCCTCCATGCTGCTGACCACCGCCAGTCAGCTGCCGCCTCCACCGCCGCACCACCAGCAGAGCTCGCCCAGCAGCCGGCTGCTGCAACATGCACATCCCCATGCCATGCAACAGATGCAACAGCAGCAACACTCCCCGAAGGGCCTCAAGTCGCTGCCCGAATCGGGGGTGTATCTGCACGGTGGACATGTGCAGGCCCAGGAGAGCAGGCCCTCGGTCATCGAGTCCTCCAACCAGCCCATGATAATCGAGTGCACGTAGGGATTGGCTGGAGAGGACACGGCAGACTTGGCTGATGAGCAGACGACCAGAGGAAGTGATGGAATCCAAGTGCAATAAAATCAAATAGAGTTAAGAACAGACAGGACAGGACGACAGACAGACAGACAGACCTATGAAACAAGAACAGCAGCAGCAACATAGAGCAGCAGCACAAGTAAACGTAACGGTATTATTATATAGTTGTATATATGGTAGTTAAAAGTCCTCCTTTCCCCACGTAAAATTGATCCTCCCCAAGCCCCGTTGGAAAACTCATTTTCGCGCTATGAAAAAAATAACTTAGATCTCACCAATTGGCAAAACCACAAATTCTTCTTCTCACCATTATATCAGCATGGCAGGAGCAGGAGAGCATCAGCAGTAAGGGCATATTATTTTTGATAAATATTTTATATATATATATAAAGATAAAGAAACTGAATGAAAATGATAAATTGGTAAATACCGAAAGCAATTGTTAATGGGAGATAAATAAAAGAAAAAAAAAAGAAAACATAAATGGAGCAGAGAAGAATTTTGGGAACGAGAGAAAATGCATTTAGATTTGAATTTCGATTTTAGATGATTTATCCGATTTATGAATTCTGTTCTCTCAAGCTCTCTGTTTGTTTGTTTACCTGTTTGTTTGTTTGTTGAGGCGCGAACCTTTAGATGTAGAATACACTGCTAGAAATACAAGCTTGACTAAGGATATATACACACACATACATACAATACATAGATTCAAGTTGCCTTATTTGAATTTCGTTAGCACTGATACCCGCGAACATAAAGATACAGAAACCGAAATACAGAAATACAGATATTTGCTTAGAGTCGATCATCTCTGTACAATAAGAACAGATCTTGAAAGCTTATACATATATATACGTATTTTATATATGAATATATCATTATAATATATATATAAATATATATTTATATGTATTTTATTAAATATACACAACCGGAACCGGAAAACCAGCAGCAGCAGCAGCAGCAAACAAATGAAAACCCAGAATTGTAAATACGAAAAGGGAACTTTATTTCGGCATCTGTTAATGTAGTATCGCCTAGCTAAATATAATTATGTAGACCTCTAGGGATTACCATTATCATTATGATTACTATGATTATACAAAAAAAAAAAAACAAGAAAAACAGAAAACATATAAAAACTAAGCAACATGAAAAGAAAAGAAACTTAATGAAAAAAACTTAGCTGAAAAATCGGTGCTTTTGACTGTTTCCATTTGTCCACATTTACACTTACGATTGTATTTGTATTTTGAACACACATGAATTATATAAAACACTAAACATATATAAAAAAAACATATATATTAAATATATACACGTTAGACTACAACTCTAGAGATACTTTCCCCAAGTAACTACTTTTGCGCCTTAATCATTCAACTTTCCTCAAAATCCAACTCCAAACGAATCCAAAAAAATATTTGCTCGTATTGTACTTTACCAAAATTACGCTCTCAATTAGTCTTCGTTTTCGTCTGAATATATATATATTATTAATGAGAAATCTATAGCTAAACTTAAGCTTATAATCTTAATGAGGCTGACTAGCGTTAAGTATATCTATATAACCGATTTATCGCATTACAACTAGCTCCTAAGTTCTGTATATTGTAAAGGCCCAGAGCCCCTGAGCTCGGCTTCGATCTGTAAGACACAACACCAATTCGTAACACTTAAGTATTTGTCTTGTAAAGTACGAGATAAGCGGGGCATACATATATAGGGTTTTGGGGGAGTACGGGGCTGTCGAATCCCGATAATTTGAGACTAAGACTATGCAAAGTTTTTGTATTTTTGTATTTGATACAAAGCAAGCAAGCAAGAGTTAGGAAAACGGTTGACGATGAGATGTTTTTAGTGAAGTAAGGCCTAGTGGTAAGCTAATGTTAAGATTTCTAAAAATATGCAATATTTATATATATACGCATAATATTTCTAAACAAAAAACAAAACGCAGAAAAGATGAGACAAGCCTACATACATGGAAAATATAAAAGAAGATAATCAAAATTATACACAAAATTGATTTTTTATTTATCCTTTGGTTTTAAACTCTCATTAGTTGGTTGTGCAATCAAAAGTATTACTTTCTTTGTGCAATATTCTATATCTATTTATATTTTCGTTTTGAACTTTTTATTTTTTAAAGTTTAGACAGTTTTTGAGACAGTTACCGAAATTGACTAAAATAAGCAAGATACATAATACTTTCCTATTTGTGAGACTGAATGAATTACTATATATACAATACTCGTAAATCGTAGACAAAATACACCCAGGATTCTTGACAGGATCCCCGGCGGAAACCCAGACATTTCGAAATATATATTTTACCGAACCTTTTGTTTGAGCAAGCACTGTAAAATATTACGAATATTTAGACATAAAGATATATATATATATATATTTATATACAAAGCACACATACATAATTGCGTAGTCGTAGAGAGCTATAGCTATAGCTGTTTATATATACATATATATATAGATAAGCCTATGGCCGGTGGCTAAAGCGCCCAACTTTGTACAGTAATTGAAATCTGTTTCAGGATTCAAGAAACGTGACGACACAACGTAAATTTAAATGGAGAATATATGACTGCTTCTTAGTGTTATAAGTGACTCTGATTTAGGTCGAACACACTCTTACACACACCCAAAAACACACACACACACAAATGATTCAAGGATCAATTCTAGAAATCAAATCCAAATATATATTCCATTATATATTCAATAAGTCTATCGTATACCTTTATTGCAAATCAATATTTCAAATGTATGTATCTATATAATTACAATTATCTATAATTCAGCCCTATATAGATCATGTAGAGCCTTTGTTATGCGTATATCCCCTGAAATTGTTTCCCCCCACTAGCACTCTCTATCTCTATGGAATCTTTCTCTCAAATACACACAAAATGTACAAAATTGGTTCTCATACTAATAATTGAAACAAGAAATTAGAAAAGGAAACAACAAAAACGCAGCGAATTTTATTTGCAATCAAAGCTAAAGCCCATGACAAAAATTGCAATTAAAAAATAATCATTTTAAATTCGAGAAGGAGATTGAGTTTCTGTTCGAACCCTCTTGAAAATTTGTTGATTTTTAAAAGCCTCAAGGTATATACACGCTTATATGTATATCACTCACCTCTTATACCACAATAAATGAAATAATTGACTATATGCATATTTAAACGCCAATTATATTGTGCAACATCTAAAATTTATTATACATGGAAAACAAGCAGCAAAAACTGAGCAGAAAAACAACAATTATCCAATTATTTGAATGCAACTTAAATTCCTATTAATTATATATGAAATATCTCTATAAAATATCTCTAAAGAATCACAATTAATAACAGTACGAAAAGAATGAATAAATAAAAACAAATATTTCATACTAAAAGGGTTCTTTGAGTTTTATGCGTTTTGGAAAATGGTGGCATACTTTTAGGGGCCATTTTTCTTTTTGGAAGGCACTTTCATTTGATTTGTGTTTCACTTAAATAATAAATTATTTAAATATAGAAGCATCTATATTTTTGTTCTTGTCCTGACACTAAGCGCTCTTTGACAGACTGTCACTGCAAATGGAAACATCAATCACACGTCAATCAACAATGAAAGTAGGGCACTTCAATCGTTACTCTAACATGTTAACCCCCCGACTGTGGACATGCAAATTGTATGCGTTTTACGCATAAAAAGTTCCCAACAATAACAAAAAAACGTATCCTGATTATCGACGGCAGGATAAGAGAAAAAAATAATGGGAAAAAAATAGCGAATCGAGGTGCCAGGTCGGGTCAAACGCGTGCTGTGCGGATATGCCACATGGATGGCTAAATGGAGCAAAAGCATCACAACCCTCCCTCCCCTTCCTTTTTGGATCATTTGTGATTTTGCATAGAATTCCGGAATGGAATTTTCCTCATTTTCATCGTCCGCTGGCCTTGATTTCAGTTTTGGCAACGTTTTATATGTTTAAAGCGGATTATTTTCATGGGCATTGTGTCGGCGCCCCCGCCCTCCGGGTAGTCCGGAAATGGCTCGGACCCTCGGACAATGCCGCTCAGCTTGGCTGCACATCCCCAAAACTTCAATTGCATTTTGTGCAAATGCGAGTGCTAGTGCGAGTGCCAGGACGCCTTGTTAATCCTGTTCCAATTATGCGTATGTGAGTGCCTGCCATTCTATCCCTACCCACTGCATCCCTAATGGGCACTTTCGCTCTCGTAGCATCCATTGTCCTTCCCTCGCCATTGTCCTTCAATCTCTGACCATCGGACAGGGCACGGGACAGGATGGACACGAGTTTGAGGAAAAATATTGATTACAGACTGTGCAGCGGCTGTGCCGCTGTTTTGTTTGGGTTCTTTGCTTTTTGTTTGTTGTTGATAAAAAATCAGGCTGACCCGAGATGACCTCTTACCAGCAAGCAACTAGGACTTATATTCCGAGCTTATATCCAAACAAATCTCAGCCATACAATAAAAAAAAAAATTATTTAAAATAGTAAGTAAAGAAGCTTATATTATTGAAAGGAGAGTCTACTTATTTTTCTTAAGTGGAAAACCGCCTTTCCAATTTTTGTTATAAATGGCCGAAATATGACTTTAAACTTTGTATTTTATCCAACCGTAGTATTAATAAGTTAATTATTAAAGAATCATAAATAATATGTCTACATTATTTATCATAACATCTGAAAAAATGTTTCAAATTCCCAGAAAAAAAGGTTGAAATGTACATAAAATATATAATTTACACATCTTTATGAGTGATTAGTTTAGGAAAATGTCACTCAAAATCCCCGGAGTTTTCCATAAAAATTTACGAACCACAAAACGATTTTATGTATTTTCGGGGTGTCAGGATAAACCCGCCCTGTGCGGATAAATTCGCTCCGATTTCGCTACAGTTTCCGCCCTCGGATCGGCTGTCATCAATCGTCAGTATTGGCTATAGATTCGGCACGCCAGCGGGGCACGTGGCAGAATTAATTGTATGCATCCCAGGAACACGGGCATCGATGTTGCACAATGCATTCGAGATCGGGGGTAGTGCCTCCGAGGGGTTGAAAGACACAGCAGCTGCCTGGCACGCGACTGAAGCGAGGGTTGTTGCATTTGCCAGTTGTGGTGCAGTTTTTTATTGCAATTTTTTTGGCAATCACCAATCAGATGGGATAGTTTTTTATGGCAGTTTTTTGTGAGAAAACAGAAACCACCTATCAGAGGTAAGCATGGGTTTTGAGAATAAAAATGAGCCTTTTTTCATACACTTATATATTTTAATAATGGTTTGAGAAAAAATATTTTTGAGATTTTTTGTCCATTTTTTGTGATGGGATCCCTTGAAATAGGGTTTTCCCCTATAGCGCCCACAGCGATGGCTATATGTTCCCCAATTCTCATCCGATTCTCAAGCGGAGTACCTTACACGATTTCTAGATCGATTCGCCACCATTCTGCATCAAAATCCTGAGACAAATATTTTTTAGATTTTTTGTCCATTTTTCGTGGTGGGATCCCTTGAAATAGGGTTTTCCCCTATAGCGCCCACAGCGATGGCTATATGTTCCCCAATTCTCATCCGATTCTCAAGCGGAGTACCTTAAACGATTTCTAGATCGATTCGCCACCATTCTGCATCAAAATCCTGAGACAAATATTTTTTAGATTTTTTGTCCATTTTTCGTGATGGGATCCCTTGAAATAGGGTTTTCCCCTATAGCGCCCACAGCGATGGCTATATCTTCCACAATTCTCATCCGATTCTCAAGCGGAGTACCTTAAACGATTTCTAGATCGATTCGCCACCATTCTGCATCAAAATCCTGAGACAAAATATTTTTTAGATTTTTTGTCCATTTTTCCTGATGGGATCCCTTGAAATAGGGTTTTCCCCTATAGGGCCCACAGCGATGGCTATATCTTCGCGAATTCTCATCCTATTCTCACGCGGAGTATCTTAAACGATTTCTAAATCGATTCGCCACCATTCTGCATAAAAATCCTGAGACAACATATTTTTTAGATTTTTTGTCCATTTTTCCTGATGGGATCCTGAGACAAATATTTTTTAGATTTTTTGTCCATTTTTCGTGATGGGATCCCTTGAAATAGGGTTTTCCCCTATAGCGCCCACAGCGATGGCTATATGTTCCCCAATTCTCATCCGATTCTCAAGCGGAGTACCTTAAACGATTTCTAGATCGATTCGCCACCACTCTGCATCAAAATCCTGAGACAAAATATTTTTTAGATTTTTTGTCCATTTTTCCTGATGGGATCCCTTGAAATAGGGTTTTCCCCTATAGGGCCCACAGCGATGGCTATATCTTCGCGAATTCTCATCCTATTCTCACGCGGAGTATCTTAAACGATTTCTAAATCGATTCGCCACCATTCTGCATCAAAATCCTGAGACAAAATATTTTTTAGATTTTTTGTCCATTTTTCCTGATGAGATCCCTTGAAATGGGGTTTTCCCCTATAGGGCCCACAGCGATGGCTATATCTTCCACAATTCTCATCCGATTCTCAAGCGGAGTACCTTAAACGATTTCTAGATCGATTCGCCACCATTCTGCATCAAAATCCTGAGACAAAATATTTTTTAGATTTTTTATCCATTTTTCGTGATGGGATCCCTTGAAATGGGGTTTTCCCCTATAGGGCCCACAGCGATGGCTATATCTTCCACAATTCTCATCCGATTCTCAAGCGGAGTACCTTAAACGATTTCTAGATCGATTCGCCACCATTCTGCATCAAAATCCTGAGACAAAATATTTTTTAGATTTTTTGTCCATTTTTCCTGATGGGATCCCTTAAAATGCGGTTTTCCCCTATAGGGCCCACAGCGATGGCTATATCTTCCACAATTCTCATCCGATTCTCAAGCGGAGTACCTTAAACGATTTCTAGATCGATTCGCCACCATTCTGCATCAAAATCCTGAGACAAAATATATTTTAGATTTTTTGTCCATTTTTCGTGATGGGATCCCTTGAAATGGGGTTTTCCCCTATAGGGCCCACAGCGATGGCTATATCTTCGCGAATTCTCATCCGATTCTGAAGCGGAGTATCTTAAACGATTTCTAAATCGATTCTCCATCATTCTGCATCAAAATCCTGAGACAAAATATTTTTTAGATTTTTTGTCCATTTTTTGTGATGGGATCCCTTGAAATGGGGTTTTCCCCTATAGGGCCCACAGCGATGGCTATATCTTCCACAATTCTCATCCGATTCTCGAGCGGAGTACCTTTAACGATTTCTAGATCGATTCGCCACCATTCTGCATCAAAATCCTGAGACAAAATATTTTTTAGATTTTTTGTCCATTTTTCGTGATGGGATCCCTTGAAATGGGGTTTTCCCCTATAGGGCCCACAGCGATGGCTGTATCTTCCACAATTCTCATCCGATTCTCAAGGGGAGTACCTTTAACGATTTCTAGATCGATTCGCCACCATTCTGCATCAAAATCCTGAGACAAAATATTTTTTAGATTTTTTGTCCATTTTTCCTGATGGGATCCCTTGAAATGGGGTTTTCCCCTATAGGGCCCACAGCGATGGCTATATCTTCGCGAATTCTCATCCGATTCTCACGCGGAGTATCTTAAACGATTTCTAAATCGATTCTCCATCATTCTGCATCAAAATCCTGAGACAAAATATTTTTGAGATATTTTGTCCATTTTTCCTGATGGGATCCCTTGAAATGGGGTTTTCCCCTATAGGGCCCACAGCGATGGCTATATCTTCGCGAATTCTCATCCGATTCTCAAGCGGAGTACCTTAAACGATTTCTAGATCGATTCGCCACCATTCTGCATCAAAATCCTGAGACAAAATATTTTTTAGATTTTTTGTCCATTTTTCGTGATGGGATCCCTTGAAATGGGGTTTTCCCCTATAGGGCCCACAGCAATGGCTATATCTTCGCGAATTCTCATCCTATTCTCACGCGGAGTATCTTCAACGATTTCTAAATCGATTCTCCATCATTCTGCATCAAAATCCTGAGACAAAATATTTTTTAGATTTTTTGTCCATTTTTCCTGATGAGATCCCTTGAAATGGGGTTTTCCCCTATAGGGCCCACAGCGATGGCTATATCTTCCACAATTCTCATCCGATTCTCAAGCGGAGTACCTTAAACGATTTCTAGATCGATTCGCCACCATTCTGCATCAAAATCCTGAGACAAAATATTTTTTAGATTTTTTGTCCATTTTTCCTGATGGGATCCCTTGAAATGGGGTTTTCCCCTATAGGATCCTTATGAAAGTTAGTATGTCGTCTTATTTTGCCAAAAATAGAATCCATACAAAATCTTAACTCTAACTCTTATTGTGAAAGTACCCTCTGCAAGGGTATATAAAAGTTTCTATCTTAATCCCATAGGTTGATAGATTGTATCCTTAAGTGGGCTAGTCAAACGCACTTTCCGAGTGCTAGATACAAATACATTTGCTCCACATAGATACATTTCGCTCTCGGCACACAACTATTCTCGCTCTTTCGCGCTGGCTGGCTGTCACTCTCTCCATTTTCTGATCGCCATGTAGAGTATCTGTCAGATACATTTTCGAGCGCTGCCAGACCAACCCGCTCAACTCGGTAACAAAAGCACTCAACTCGGCTCGAGTTGCTCGATGTTTTTCCACGCTCACACCAACACAACCACAGCGGGGCACACTCACGCACAGGGACCCATTGGAATATTGTTTTGAAGATACTGAGCTAAACAAAAATTTTCGGGTCTGCGACGACCTTCCTAGAAATAGTTGAAACGGAGCGGAGTCAGTGTGACGAAGTGCGTCGTGCGCAGCGGCAGCGTTTTTCCCGAAACGCATGAAAAGTTGTTGAAAATCGGAAAACTCGAGTCGCAGTAGTGTGTGTGTTTTGTGAGTGTGTGCATGCGTGCGGGCTGCGTAGTGAAAGATACAGATACTGTAGCTCACGAGTGCAACTGTATCTGGTGCATGCGTTTCAAGAAGGAAAATATGCAGTGACTGTCGTATTTGAAAATAAAACTATTAAGTTATACTTCCAATAAGTTGCCAAAAATATTAAAATTAAAATGGAGAGCTTCCAGGAGATAATCACCGCGGAGAGGAGGACCAGCTATAGCTCGAGCTCTTCGGTGCCAGGTTAGTAGTGGAGTTTCGAATGTGGAGCGAAACCAATTATGCCGCGACGTCACACCCCCATACTATTTAGGGCTCCCCCTCCCTGCCCGTGGATGTTTTTTTAGATCTTCTTGCCACCAAAATAAGCCACAACAAATATTCAATACGGAATCTTATCAAAGTCAAAGCTGATTGGCCCGCCGATCGCCCTCCGACGATTTCTGTTTTTGTCCGTCTGTTTTTTTTGGGGTTTCTGTTTTTTTTTTTTTATTTACTGCGCAGTTTTTTTATTCGCTGGTGTGGGTTATTACGGTTTCTGTTTTGTTTTTGCCATTCGCTGATTTGATTTTTTATTGGCAAACGCGTTATAGTACTATATACCATTGTATGTACCACCGGAGGTGTCATCAACCCCCAGATAAATCGAATCGCTGACCGACTTTCAGTATCTCACCCCTCGCCGATCAAGGACGACCTGCCTGCCCATCCCTGACCATCCTCCGGGGGATTAATTTCACTTCACTGGCTTAGGGGACAGAAATCTAGGAGATTTTCAAAGCTAATTGAACAAAGTAAAGGGAGTAACCAGTTTGGATCTTATAATTGGAAAAAGGAATTAGCCTGGTGGTGGTGGTTTTTGTCCAGAAAGGTCCTCCGACTTTCATTCAATTAGGTTTCTTATCAGAAAGACCAAAGAATTTTCAGATCTTGGAATTCCCATCACGTTGTGAAAGAAAATGAGTGAGAAAAGTGCTGTGTCGGCGACCTAGAAATGCCAACAACCCCCGAAAATTTTTGATTTCAGATAAGCCACACAGAGAATGAGAATGCAGTGCCGAGTATCTGTATCTGAGCGATACTGAGTCTCGAGTACGAGTTCGAAGATAAGCCAGCCACGAAATGGGGACGGGTGGAGTGAAGTGAAAACAATTTATGAATGAATGAATGAATCCGAAATGAATGGGCGTGTGTGTGTGAGTGCCACTGAGTGAGTAAGATGAGCCTCTCTGCTTAGATAATGAAATGAATCCACTCCGGTCTGTTGCTTCGTTCGTTTATTTCCAAATATTTTTTATAATAACAACCGAAACCTGTTTTTCTATTTTTTTGTTGTTTGCTTGTCGATGGGGGAGCCAGGGAGGTAAGATTTCAAGGGGAGGTGCGTAATAATCCAATGTTGAACTTGCCTCGCGGCAAATGGGGCAAGGACACGGCTACACAGTCAGGAGAGCTCTTCAGCTGCCGCTGGCTCATTTGAATAACAAAGAGCCTCGGCCCGGGATTCCCAGACAGGATATCGAATTGAGTCCCGAACTCATGTTTCCTCTATTCTTCTCTATTCCTTTCGCAGCGAATCCTTCGGAGGAATGCGGCTGTGTGCGGTTGGGAAAATGCAAATGGTTCAATGTGGCCAAGGGATGGGGCTTCCTAACCCCCAACGATGGCGGCCAGGAGGTGTTTGTGCATCAGGTGAGTGTTTATTTTTCGATTAAAGCAATCCATGCCTCAAATATTCCAAAAATATTTGAAAATCCCTGCTCTTTTATTGGAAATTTAATTTTAATCCATTATCCTTTTAAATCCGCCCATAGAGTGTCATCCAAATGTCGGGCTTTCGTTCGCTGGGCGAGCAGGAGGAGGTGGAGTTCGAGTGCCATCGCACGCCCCGCGGCCTGGAGGCCACCAGGGTGTCCGGCAGGCAGGGCGAGAGCTGTCACGGCAGCACCTACAGGCCACGCATGTAAGACCCGTTATCCTACTACCAGCGCCACCCTTACTGATAAATCCTCCACTGATTTACCCTCCTCCTCCCTCCCTAAAAACCCAACAGCAATCGCAGGACTCGCCGCATGCGCTGCTACAATTGCGGCGAATTCGCCAACCACATCGCCTCCGAGTGCTCCTTGGGACCGCAGCCGAAGAGGTGCCATCGCTGCCGGAGCGAGGACCATCTCCATGCCGATTGCCCGCACCGTCATGTGGTGAGTAGCATCCTTGAGGCACCCGTGGTATCCTGTCTAATCGTCTTGCCCCTCCAACAGACCAGCACCAGCGACGGCAGCATCAGCACCGGAAGTCAGAGCAAAAGCGAAGCCACCTAGGACACCGTAGGGGATGTCCTTGGCGGGGTCGGTAGTTGGAAGTTTCAAACTTCTCTTGAAAACAAGTACAAAAATGGAAATCTAAAACACGCATCAAATCAAAGAAACCCACGTACAACAAAATTAGCATTAGATATTAAAAAAAAAAAGAGGATATCACGCTCCTAACCTATAATAAGATTATCCTTTAATTTTTAAAGTAATTCCTAAGACTTTAGTTCTAAGAATTTTTCAACAAAGTAAAAATTGTCAGCTAAAGAGTATCCATTAGCCGTCTTCTTCAGTCCTTATCCTTTCTCCTTAGCTTAAAGCTCTTGATTGATAAGAAAGCTCTCGGGAGCAGTCACGTGGCCACTAAAAACATTGAAGCTTTCGCCAGGACAACAACAAAATCACCATGAAAACGCAGAATCATTGTAAGCCCAGTCGCGCCTCCTCCAACCCCCAGGACCTGGCCACTGAAAGTGAAACAGAGTGGAGCAGCAACAACAAAAAGATTAGGCGAGGACATGGCCAGAAGGATGGCGTGAGGAGAAAGTCGTGCCTTTTTTTCGGCTCTCTCTCTTGCTTTCTGTGTGTATGTGTGTGTGTTGGCCCTTTGGCTGTTTTTGTTGTGGTTTTGGAAGGTTTCCGCCATCAGTTTGCAACATTGTTCGGGCTCGGGCTATTCTCTCTCTCCGCATCTTCGGTCTCTTTAGGCGCGTGTCCTTCGCAAGGATTCAGTTACGGCTACCCAGAAGGATGCAACTGCTGCCTTATGCGGGAACCTAAACTCGGAATCGGGTTCAGTCTCAGTTGATCTCTGCCAGAGAATTGTTGTGTGCAACGCGGCGGAATTTACATTTTACATTTACAATTAAAAACTACAAAAAATATATATACATTATATATAAAAAATATAAAACTTAAAAACCTTAAAAAGACAGAAAATCAAAAAAACAAAAAAACACAATAACTTAGACAACTAAAAGAATTTCAACAAAGTTAACATAGCGTTTCAGCAACAAATTTTCAACCAAAAAACCAAAAATAAAAAACAATTCTTAAAAAAAAAAGGATAAAAATAATAATCATGAACATTTGTAAGATTTTTTTGGTGAATAACCAGTACAAGTTTTTCAACAAAACCAAAAATGGCTAAGTAAGCTGCAAGAGTTCAAGGTTGATGAAAGAATACACATTAATTTAGAGGAGCGGAGTGAAAGGATAAATGCTAAAAAAACTAAAAAAAAAACAATATACATATGATGGGTGAACAAACAATAATAGAAACGGCATCGGCAGGATGCCACAGTCACAACTAACAATAACAACAAAAGCAACGTCAACGTCATCGCATATTCATTTGGGGCAAGCCACACACAAACAAACAAACAGAGAACACACACACACAGAGCTCACATCCTGGCCAACACACAAACACACACACACACACATACTCTTACGATGTGAATTTACAACCAGATTTACATGGGGAGCGCCTGTTATGTAATATCCTCCTTCTGACGCTGTCTCCTGTCATGTTACAAGTCCTTGCTCCCGCTTGCGCGCTTTCTCTCTCTCCCAACGGCGAGTGGTGGGAGGTGTGGCATGCACCTTTTGATCCCTCCGCCATCCTCCCTTATCCCCCCCCCCTTTGGGTGCTAATTTGATTTAACTCACACACACACACACGCCCGAATGGCCGCTGCATGGGCACGGCATTGAGACATTGGCCCGAAGGACACTGGCCATCCGCCCATCCCACAAATCGCTGCCTCATAAATAGGGACAACGCCGAGGTGTGTCTGACCGATTTTTTTCTGTCCTCCTTTGGGTTTCCACTGCGTTTGTGGCATGCAAATTGGGTCTAAACAAATATTAAGTATACGCAGCGTGACCCCGATGATTTGTTAAAAAGATTCCCTATTTTTTTTTTTTCGAAAGGATATACGGGATAGGGTTGGGCCTAATTAACGAATGTGTCTCATAATGCGACAGCCGTTAGTAGGTCAAGTAGATGCGATGCTGGCGGTTGGAGGTCGCCGCAGGAGAAAAGCTCTTTGCCAAAAGGGCAATCCGATCCGAGAAGGGCGAGGAGGCTTTGGATGTGAATGTGGATGAGGACGAGGACATGGTTGGGAACGAGGTGAGATGAGTAGTCGCGTTTTTCGAGAGCGAATTGGGCGACAAACGAGTGCGAGTTGAGTAAATAAATAGATGGGCGTTTCTGGCCATTCCAGCCACACTTTACACACGTTCTCTGGGGTCTTAGGGTGTGGGCTAATCCTTTTCGGACGGGCTCCACGGGCTGCAATTATTTTATAAAATTTTTACAAAAATCTCAATGTTTCCACACCACTTCTCTACCTTTCTCTCTATCTCTCTGTCTGTTTGCACCTCACTTTCACTTTTTTAAACTCCTCCCCCACCCCACATTTATGAAATTATATTCAAATTAATGTTTTTTAATCCTTATTCTGGCACAGGCATTGTAAGAATAACTCTTCACTCTCTGTCTCTGGCATGATTCGAATTAAATTAAATAAAAACTCAAGCTGCAAACTAAACAAATAAATCCATAAACGGTTAAAAGTTCCAACAACCTTAATAAACACAATGTACAAAGTCTAAACATGTTTAAAAGTCCTATTTAAACCACAAACTAAATACCAAAACCAGAAAACAGCAAGTTCAAGTGCTAATAACTCGAAACTCTCAACCATCACAGTATCTTCCAAATAAATCCAAGGTAAGTGTTTTATTCTTATGATTCTCAGTGTTATAAACTGCATTCTATCAAGCACCCACTTTTCACTTGAATTAAGTAGTTCAACTGACGATGATTTTTTGTATCTTTTGCTATAACAACAATATTGGGGAGCTCTACTCCATTTAGCTAAAAAGGCATCTTTTCCACGGCCAAATTCCAGGCAGGCAGTCCTCGACACACGTAGATGCAGCAGTTATAGACCAAAGGCTCCACTTTGCCCTGCTGCACCAGCGAGAGAATGGAGCACAAGCTGCCCAAGTGGTAGTTGTGTTCCTGATCCATGCTAGGTGGTGGGTTATCTCCGCTACCTAAAATTAAGGAAATTTTATTTCAAACCATTAGAACATCCTTTTTTTTAATCACCTTTAACAACACCCGTTTTCAGCCAGGAAACGTTGTCTATCTGCGTCCAGGGTATAACATTCTTGTCGCTTGGGGCTATCCAAAGACTCAAGACTGTCACCGAAACAGTATCCATATTGCCATCTAAAGCGGGCATCAGGGTTCCCACAATCGAGGGACACAAGGCACCATGGTAGTAGTCGTGGGCTCCATAGAGGGCACTGTACAGGCCAGTGCCCAGCATTCTTGTGGAATCGCAGCCGAACAGAAAGACCACGCTGCGTACTTTGGAACGACATATTTGCCGGCCATGGACATATTGCAGACCCGAACCGTGACCAGCATACCTACAAAATATATACAATAATTCCAGCAATCCTTAAAGACATAAAATCTTTGTCCTTACACGAAACAGTCTGCTTGGTAGGCCCTTTTAACCAACAAATCCTCGGTTGGCACTGTTTCAAAGAGGTTCTGCCAGTGCTTCAGCCAGTACTCAAAGAAACTGCGCAACCTGCGACCTGAATTGACTAGATCCGCATTGGGATTTATCACCGACATGCCAGATTTGATATTTGTGGTGTAATAGCCATGCTTGATGTTGCTCCTGTGCTGCTGGAACAAGCGCCAAAGGCAGTGCAGGGACTTAACCCGAGAGAACTCTTGAACGGTGACCAGTTGCTCCCAATGAAGATGGTCCAGGCGCTATAATATCAAAATAACTTTTAATAGGTAACTTTGGAGAGTATTTATTGGTTTCTACCTCATCAACTACTAGAATAGTGGGAAACCTTCTTGCCACCAGCTCCTGCCGCTCCTCAAGTTGCGTCCAATCGCTGGCGCATTCCTTCAGCATGTCATACACTGCCTGAACTTCGTTTTCACTGGAGGTTAGCTCATAGCAGATGAGTTTCATATCCGTGGCAGACAATCGATTGGCATGCAAGGCCGCCTGCGAAAGCAAAACCCGCTGATGGTTGCTCCACTGATTCACCAAACAAAAGTCATCCACCCGGCAGTTGACAACCTTTGTTTGTTTTTGAACGGCGCTGCAGTCGTAGCGTTTCCCAAAGAAGAGAAAGGAATAGGGAGAGACCACTTCTCGAAAATCGGCCAGTAGTTTCTGGAGAGGATTTGTTGAATATTGCATTAAACAGGCCATGATTGGTGTACTCCATTCTCACCTGTAGAAATGTATCAAAAGCATTCAGCTCTTGCCAGTACTTCTGCTTGGCCTCTTTGTTTTTCATATTCAGAGGATCCACTGTAACCACTCTCCTGAATCTCTCCACCAAGGTGCTGTATTCCCTGAAGATATCAGACATTTTCCCCCCTGCAAAGCGTACACAAATGGGTCCCAATAGAGGGCTCCTGCAGTGGCGCAGCAGGGAAAGGTATATAGCTCCATCGCTGGCGAAGATCTCGTTGAAGACAGAGTATGTGGTGGCGGGATTGAAGCTCTTGCAGACTTGCAAAACACACCACTCCTCAGGCAGGCGATTACAGATGTCGGAGATGCGGGCTAGACCATCTACGGGGTTTTCCACGTCCTCCAGAAAGTCCAGATGCTCGAGGAGTTCTTCGGCTTGCCTTGCAGGCGGTTTCTCTTCCTCTTTTTGCTGCAGGTACTTGATTATATTTCTCAGGAACTTGTTGCTGTGGAAAATGGAGGTAAAAGTACATCTTTGGAATGGGGAATAATATATCCTACCTTTTGTAGTCTTTTTTCTCTTGCGCCGAGGCGGCTTTTAAGAGTTCCTTCGAGGTAGGACGCTGGCTCTCCAGGTGCTCCGCTTCGGTGATATAACGCAGGTCGGTGGATTGGAATTGGGCCTTGACCTGGTAGAAGATAGAGTGCTCCTCATTTCCGTTCCGGTACTCTTCATCGGCGCGCAGTAAATTGTATTCTTTTATAAAAATAAACAAAAATTCCTGTGGTCATTAGGAAGTGGCCGGAAGTTGTAACCGTACTCACCCTTCGCCTCGGGGCCCACATCCGAGCTAGTTACACTGCTCAGGATGTCTGCCTCGCCCCCAGCCTCCAGCATTTCCTTTAATTATATTTAATTTTCTTTTCTTAATTTGTTTGTTTTTAAAAACTGGCGGCGTTGTTTTTATTCCACAAGTTGCAGCGAAACTGATTCCATTGAATCTGGAACTGAACTAGCTCCAGTTATCGAAAGAGTTCTTCGATAAAACTAGTCCTTCGAAGAAAAAAGGCACCAATAAAAACAAAACCCATAAATTAAATAGTTTTAAGTGCCGGCTAAGCAGTTCTTCTTAAAAAAACCCAAATAAAATTGTTCCAACAGGATATATTATTATCCTACGGGAGCTACCAAGTCTGGCATCCCCGGCCAGTTATCGAAAACCAGTGTTTAAAAGAGGGGTAGTTTTTAGAACAATTTTGAATTTCGCGGGTGTGCTAAAATCTAAACAAAGAATATTAAAATATTATTTTAGGAATCTCTAAGTTTTTTAAATAATCTGTTGGATAATGATTTTAGCTTCCAACAATGTTATCATAAGTTAACAGTGCTTCCGGCCTGCAAAAAAGCTCGTTTGGGTTCTGTTGTTGTTTTTGTTTTGAACCTGGCTCGTGCGTTCATTCATAAAAACATGAATCGGGGGTCACCCAGCTTGAAAGGTGCACGAGATTGGCCGAAAAACAGATGTGCGATGCTAGGGTTGCCACTTTCCCGAAGATGAGCAGCGGAAACTGCGCAGCAACCACACCCTCCCAAAAACTGTTATCCAAATTTATGAAATATTTCTTAAAATGGGCTACAATTTTATATAAAATGTTTAACTAAATCACCTTTCCCGTTTCGTTTTAAAGATCTAGTGATCTAAAGATAGTGTCCTGAATATTCCCGAATATCCTGTTCTATTTTTTGGAAGGCAACCCTAAACCACACCCTCCAGTTGCCCTAAAAAGCCTTACGCAACAACAAAAGCCACACACACACAGATGGCCAATTATTGCAGCCAAAGAGAACAGCAACAAAAACAAGCTGTTAGCTGTTACAGCAACAACAACTACATGATTTTTTTTTTTTTTGGGCATTTGCTGTGTTAACTTTTCAGCTACCAGTTTTTGTTGTTGGCCATTGCCGCTGCCAGTGGCTCTGCTGGCGCTGCATCTGCTGCCGTCAGCTGCAAGCTGCAGTTTTCTAATGACGTCTTTTGGCCAAGCGCAAGATAACGGAACTTTTGAAGTGAGTGGGCGTCTGAGCTTTTATTGCGTCTGCGACCGCGCCCCTCGAAACTATACTTACTTTACCTTAGTATTTTTTATAGAAAATTTAGTTTTAAATCTTTTAAAATTAAAATAAAAAATAAACATTTTTAAACATAAATAAATGCAAGCGGCTTTAGACGTTTATTACCGTTAGAGAGGCTGCAGCTGGTCGCTGTCTCGACTTGACGAATGTCTTCGTTAAATATTGAAACTGCGCAGCGGCAGAGATCTTGGCTCTCTCGTTCCGCCCCTGCCCCTTTCGACCTGGCAAGCCGACAGCGGCAGAGGCGTCGACAGCGACGTCAACGCCGGCGTCAGCATCCTTTCTACTTATTAATTTTGATGTTGCTTTTCACTTTTACTTTGTGGCATGTGGAACGTGCTCGGCCACTTTTTGGTTATTCCTTTGTTTTTGGTTGAAGCCCGTTCTTTTGGCCATAGATCGGCTTGTTTCTTTTTGGCCGACTGGCATGCTCGACAAAAGAATGAGAAAGCAACTAAAGCACCATCTAGTCCACCACCCCTTTCACACCACCCTCTTCCCCCGTCTTGAACCTGCGACAAATACCCTTTATGTTCGCTGCATTATTGATGTCACAAGCTCGGCACGTTCGTTGTCCTTTCCGCCTAGCAAATTATAACATTAATATTACATTAACACATACACGGGCAAGTACACTCATACACACATACACACGTGCATTGGGGAGACATTAAAACTTTCACAGAAGCTGGAGCAGCAGCAGTAGCAGCAGCACATGTAACGAAATGCCAAAAACAACATAAGAACAGAGCCACCCCAAAAAAAAAAAAAAAACATATTCATGTGTTTGTAGGTATGTACGTGTGTGTGTGGCACACATTCCAACAGTTGCAGCGACGTCGCAGCTGACGGCGCTGCTAACGGCTCTGCCAGCGCCGCAGCATCCGCTCTCGCAAAACTTCAAAACGATTTTCGAAGTCGACGTCGACGGTTGTGTCGCTTTTTTGCCACTGCGTTGGGCTCGAAAAGAATAATAAAACTAAACAAAATAGGGCTACTAAAATCTCAATCTTAAAAAACAAAAAATAAATGTTCTAAAACCCAAAACACAATCGTTAAATGATTTTCAAAACTAACCGGAATGTCAAATATTTGCAAACCAAAAAAGTGTAGCATACTTTTTTGCGACTGTGGAAAAAACGCCCACGCGGCCTTCAAAAAATGAATTAAAAGAGTAAAATAGAGATTAAAATAATACAGTGACTGTGGGGCGGTCTTGAATTGTAATTAAAGTAAATTAAGGTGTGGTGATTTATGCAACTTTTTGTGTGGCACACACATGGACAGAGTTCAGGGGGGCAGGGAGGGCACTGCACATACCTCTAAGCTAAGCCCACACTCACACACAAACACACTGACACAGAAGCTGAGCAAGAAGAAGAAGATGACTGAGAAGAGGAAGAGCAGGCATACAAAATAAAGGATAAGCGACGGACGGAAAAACCAAGAAAGAAATCGAAATTAAAATATATATTGTGGGCCACAGACGGGGGGGGTTGGTGCCCGAGGGGGTGTTGGTTAGGCAGTGGGTGGAGAGAGGGGGCGGTGGGCGCAATTTTCGGCTGTCGCTGTAATTCGACGCTCATCTCTGCTCTAATTTACTCTCTCTCTCTCTCTCTGAATCTGAATCTGAATCTTCTCTTGGGTCGGCTCTCTCCCTTTTCGTCAAGTGAAAACATTTCGTTTTGGCTTCGTCAAGTTTTGTAGGTATTTTGGCAGCAGCAGCAGCAACTACACGAAAATACACAGCTCCTATATCCTGCTCGAAAAATCAGGGAAAAACCTCACAATTCTTATCCTAAAATCTAAAGAAAATTGTGTTTTTAATTCCTCAAAATACCAGTGAAAAGTGATCTATAAATATGAAACAAAATCCATAAAGGACTCCAACGAAAAGGACACGTTAAGAGACTTTTTTTCGGCAAGCCTCGAAAGGCGTTGCCAAATCTGAGGCTGAAAGGATAAAACAACAAAACCACAACTAAATCCGAAATCAACTTTTAATCACCAGGCACAGGAGACGAGAGAAAACCCCCATAAAAGGACTATATATCAACTTAAGAATAAATGAAAAAAAAAATATTAATCATACGCACCGTTTAAAAAGCACCAAGTGAAAAAAAATATTAAAACCAAAAAAAAAAAAAAACCTGAAAACCAAACCAAAAATAAAGAACAAACAAAGGATAAAAAAATCCTCCAGAGAAGGAACAGCATCAGTGGGAGCATCATCAGCACAAGAACATTGTGCTGCATAAATAATACACTCGACACACGCACACGGATACCGATACCGATACGGTTACGGATACGTATACGCCATATAGGCCAGGACATACCAGCAGGACTCCAGGCAGGACCCACACACGCATGCAGGACAGGGACGCAGGGAGGCACTGGCACTGCTCCTGTTCTATTATTTAACTGCTTTCAACGTCAGCACAACGCCGTTCAACTCGACGAAAGTCGATTGAAAGCCGCCTTCAACGCAGCCCAGCATCCCTTGCTCTTTCCAGAGAGCGCGTTTAAGAGAGAGCGAGTCCTTTGTTTGCCCGAGTGTGTGTGTGTGTGTGTGTGTGAGTGTGCGACGTCAACGTCAATCCGCTCAATATTTATACATTGAACCGAGGCTCCTGGCCCACAACGCAGACGCTCCTGGGGTCTCCTCCTCGCTGGGTTCCCAAAATAAATAACATCTGACAGCTGCCCGAATCCTGCTGAATCCTGAAAGCACTTAACTGGCGCACTAGTAGGATAATACAAAAAAAATATATATACAACAAATTATCAACCAAACTGAACGCGATCTTAAAACAAAAACAAAACAATGGGTGCCAAGGAAAGTGTCGAGGCAGCCGCCAAAATGAACGCCGATGGCTGGGGGCATGTGGAGGTGTGTATTAACTATAAAAAAAAAACCTAAATATATAAAAAATAAATTACCCCTTAAAAAATCACCCTACATATATCAAAGGGGAAGAAAAACAAAGCTTTTAAACGAAAGACTATTTAAAAAGTCATAAAAAGAAACCATATTTATGAGGCATATTAAATTAGTTTGCTTTTCTTATAATTTGTTATTTATTTCAAAAGATATGGGATTAGAATTTTGTTGAAATTTAAAAAGAATTTGTTGTTTTCTTAAATACTTAGGTATTATTTGGTTTAAAGTCAAAACAAACTAATAGATACCTTAGTAGTCCCTAAAATCAAAGCCATAACTTTCCCAAAAAAATGCCATAACAAGTTGTTTTTTTTTATTAGCCCCTATGGTTTGATCTTCCTCCCAAAGATCTATAAAATCCCTCGTGATATTGTCAACAACTTGATGAACCCATTCCAAGTGTCGCTCATCACCCTGAGTCTGAATGTGTGTCAGACTAGTATTCCGCCTTCAGACCCAATTGCATTCCCGATGAGAGCCCTGAGAACGGAGCTCTCCCCGCCACTTGATTGATTTAAAAATAAATTTGACAACAACACGTGCATTTGGGGCCAGCACGCGAATGAGGAGAACTGAGAGTTGGGGACCCCATTTCCCTATGGTGGTCCCCATGGTCCACATCTAGCCGGCCCCGAACATATCGCGTCGGAGATCTGATCGCTAGAGCGAGTGACGGAGTGGGCGTTTGGGACGGCGCTCTCGAGACGCCAAGATAGATTCGAGAGATTTTCATTTCGGGTTAGGTTTTCTTGCGGATCGGTTAGTTGAGTCTGCGGCGTGCATTTGTGATGTTGTTTTGGCATTTTCAAGATCTCGCCAGCCCCGATCTCCGTAAACCGCAATTCGAACTCTTTTTGGTAGCCGGCAACTGAATGGCCAAAATCGATTCGTAAACAGGTGTTTGCGGCTTATATTTTGTGGCTGTGTGTCGCAGGCCTCTGGGTCAGACGATGTAAACAAAAATAGATATATGTATATATGCGTATAAATAAATAAATATATATATACACAACTATCGCTATAATAGCGATCAAAATGTGCTTCCGTGCGCGTCTACAACTAATCTGGCCAACATATGTGTCGGCCCAGTGTCTGTGAATATTTATAAAAAATTTAATAAAAAAAATCTAAACAAAATTCCCATCTCACCTCATTTTTTGCATCAAAGAGAGTGATGTCCGAATCAAAAGCAAAATACTTCAAAGCACATTTTCCGCTTTACATCATTGGGTTTGAGTTATGCATCGCTTTTGTTTTTGACACCTACACAAAAAAATGTCGAGAGTTGCAGGGGGGCACCGAGGGGGGTATAGTGGTGCTGTTGCACTAACGTTCGCACCTCTTGGCCCGGCTTGATGATAATAACCTGTGGCGTGGGTTGCTTCAAAAGCTTCAAACGCATAGAGCCCAGACTTCGAGATTCGAAACTTGTTGTGCAGCCTTCGTGGCAAGCTTGTGTTACTCAAAATATTTTGCATAATTTTATAGAAAATTAATGGCATCTTAAGTATTATTTAAGGCGTTATTTGTTGTTGTACTTCCCACTTGGTTCGATGCATTTCCAAAGGCCATGAAAGCCGAAAATAAATGTTCTTTAAGGGGAGGGTAAGGTATTAAATTTTTTTTTTTCCATTTTTTTTTTTATTTTTTAAATTGAATGCATAATATCTGAAGAATATTGTGTCAAAATTTCAAGTCAATTAAAGCAAAATTGACGAAGTTATTAGTTATTGACGAAGTTGCTTGCAAACGTTTTACACTGGATTTTGTTTTGTTTAAAACTTTAAAGCGTTATTCCCACAACTCACGTTTTCAAAGTCGGTGCCCCTCATAACTTCAAAACTACTGCACCGATCCTTTTGAAATTTTAAACACTATTTCTGTACATATTTTACGAGGTAACGCTGTCGAGTTTTTTTTTTTGTTCATAGTTTTGATTTCGCAATGACAAATTAACCGATTTTTTCCCAAAAAATTGAGTTTTTCACTTCAAAGTCTTCGAAAAAATTAAAAAATTGCAATTTTCAAAAAACCTTTACAGCGTTACCTGGGGCGAACTATTATCTAACGAATGAATTTTCATTTTTTGATTACAAATGATCCAGCACCGAGTTATGAGGGGCACCGCAATTCAACTTTTTTTGGCGACACGTCCGGACAACTGCTACTATTGCCATATTTTTAAATATTTTTTTGTAAAAATTTTATTAAACATTCTTCTAATGTCATACTTTAATATACCGTTGGTTGAATAAATAAATTTTAACTGTGTCGTCAGGAAAAAAATCACAAAAACATGGCTTTTTTCGCATGATTTGACCTTACCCTCCCCTTAAAGCGATTTGGATAATAAACTCGTATCTCATTTTAATAGGATTTCTTTTTAAACAATTTTATGAGAGGATTTCTAAATATTTTCTTTTATTTACATAGATGTTTTGAAAAAGATTTGCTTGGGAAATAAATCAATGAACGATATGAGGAAGTTTTAGATAGATTAAAGAATTTGGAATTGTTTAGAGTAATTTTGGGATAATAGTGTAATTTTTAAATGTTTTATGTCCGTAAAAAATAGTGTCTTTAATCAAAAAGACCCTGTAAGTGTTCTTTAAATAAATATATATTCAATGAAAAATATTTCAATAAAATATTCATTTGATATTATATTTATAAAGCTTTGTACACAGATATATATATATATAACCCACAGAAATGTTAAAATTTATAAATTAAAGGCATACAATGCTTAAATAATTACCATAAACCATTACCATAAACGGGTGCTTAATATCTCCAAAAGCTTATAGATAGCTAAAATATTATTTAAAATTTTTAAAACAATTTTTTTATAATTTATTTTCTAGCGAGGAAGTCGCTACCACGGCCATCGGCACAACCAGCGATCGCAGTCGCTGAATCGCGGTCAGGCGCTCTCGCAGGCGGACGTGAGCGGCATGTGGTGACATCGGGGTGCCTCTGGTAAAGGTTAGTAATGTCTATAATCCATATATATCCCCAAATTAAATCCATTCAATCCCCAGGATCTGCGGCAGGTTGCGCCAACTGCGCCATGGGTAACAAACTGAGCTGCTCCTGTGCCCCGCTGATGCGGAAGGCGTACCGTTACGAGGATTCACCCTGGCAGAGCTCTCGACGTCGCGATGGCCATTTATTGAGGTGGGTGTGATCCTGCATCCTTGACTGACATTTCGGACCATTTCTAGCCTGACTATGCTTTTGTGTTCTCTGACTGCCGCGTGAGGGGGGGTGGAGGCCAACCAACACCACCACTGAACCACAATTGAATTCGTTCTTTCGATAACTTTTTTCCGAATCAACTAATTATGTTCTCTTCTGGTTTTTCTTTCTTTCTAAAAAAAAAAAAACAAAAAAACAAACAATATATATATATGTATATGATACAATTTACTTACAATGACTTGTAAAACAATTACACCCAAAAAACCACTCACAAATATTGATGCGACCACCAAAACTACCACAAAAACAACAACTACAATGTCTCCTGCTTCAACTTTTCCTTCCTACCTTCGACTGCAACTACAACTACAACAACTACCAACTACCAACTGTAACAACAAATGCGTTTCATTGTTTTTCCAACTTTTCCTCTCCAACAACCCAACCAACCAACCAACCAATCAACTAAAATCTAAACAATTGTGCACCAAAAAAAAAAAAACCAAAATTCGAATCGGAATCGAATCTCCACCAAATCCAAAAAAAAAACCTAAAAACTAAAAAAAAAAAACTTTGTTAACAAACTTAATTAACCAACGATAGTTCGTTCAGGTTGTGGGCTGAGGTCTTCCATGTGTCGGCTAGCGGAGCCGGCACCGTCAAGTGGCAACAAGTGTCCGAGGATTTGGTTCCTGTGAACATCACCTGCATTCAGGACTCGCCCGAGTGCATCTTTCACATCACCGCGTACAACAGCCAGGTGGACAAGATACTCGACGTAAGACTTGTGCAGCCAGGTGAGTGCACATCTCCCCCAACTCACACCCTCTCTGTGTTAATTGATTAAACAATTTATCTACCCTGAATAATCCGGTTAATAAATGTTAATACAGGTACGCGTATTGGACAGGCATCAGAATGTTTTGTTTACTGGAAGGATCCCATGACCAATGATACTTGGGGCCTCAACTTTACGTCGCCCATTGATGCCAAACAGTTCCGCGAGTGCTGTGTAAGTATTCTCTTACAGTTTGGCAAAGCAAAATATTTTTTGCATATAGCGACAACGAAGTACCCTCCGATAAAGTACCCTCCCCTCCAATGAAAACAACAACAAAATGACAACAACAACAAAAAAAAAATAAGTAAAATTAATTCAAAACCAATCTCAACCAATAAAAAAAAAATATAAAAACCTCAGCCACCCAACAACTAATACAGCAACACTAACAGAGGAGCTCGGCTAATCATGCCCGCCAGCTGAGCCACCATCCCCAAAAACCCACTACCAGTTACCAAACCACCACCCACCCAACCACCCAAAACAACAAACACTAACAGAGAAAAACTTAAAAACACTCAGAAAAAAAAAAGAAAACAAACACAAAATCATTGAGAGAATGGCAGCCCACGAAGACGATGATGATGATGATTAGGACCACGATGAAAATGATAAAGGCCAAGAGATGTTGGCCAAGATGTTCGATGTTTGCTTTGCATACTCGTATATAACACACTAACACACACTTACATCTCTCTATCTATGTACTTTGAATATCCATTAAATCAGTCTCAAGGTTCCAGTGGCATAAAGACACTCGACCAATCTGAAGATGAAATCACCATCAAGCTCTTCATTGTCACGGAATTAGTCACCGTCATCCGTCGTTCCAGTCACTGTCACTCTCTTTTTGGCCCAAAAGACACGCACCAGAAACATAACTCTTTCTTGTTAACGTTAATTAGTTACCAAATCAAACAATCTTGACAATTTGAAGGAATTTGTTTGCTAAAATATATCTAAAAATATTTTATATTTTTTGTTAAATATTTTAAGTTGTAATATATGTAAAAAAAAAGTATTACTTTTTAGTTTAAACAATTTGGCCAATTAAAATATTAAGTAGTTTTTGGTAGAAACCGATTCACACACTTGCAGACACACGCACACATACAGAAACATGCACCTGGAGAAAAAAATCATTAGAAAAGTCACTAAAATTCGCAGAACTTGAAACTTTTCAGAATCATCAACACTTACCATATACATATTACTATATATAGACTCTAATATATATATTATGTAGTCAGACATAAACTATCTGGACTAGCCATGTCTAATAAATGTTTAATTTTCTTTTCTTACTTTGCGCATCATATGTTGCAGGTATCTTACATTGTAAAAAAATACGTTAGTATCGCTTCATATTGTTTCTTTTTTTCACAGTGTAAATTCACACCACATACACCCTTTCTAAGACTAAGTAACTCTCTTTTGTCACCTAAGTGTCTTTTGAAACTCTGAAAAGGATTATTAACCTTTTTTCCCCACCTTTGTCGGGCATGAGTACCTATCGTTTTCATTCCAACAACTCACCAACAACAACACCCACACCCACTACTGAGTGTCGTATATGTTGTGTAAACTCTATTTTCTGATCTAAGTGTACAGTGCCACGCCCCGAACCACCCACCAGAACAGACCCTCCGACCCCACCCTCCGAATATCCACTCCACTATCGTTTTCACTATCAGTGTGTTCAGAAATCTCACCTGAAGGTCCTGCAGGACTTTCCCTTGCATTTGTATATGTGACCCGAAGATGCCAAAAAACAGCGAAAACTATCCGAACAGACACACACACACCACTACCGAGACACACACACACACTAAAATTTGTTAAATGTATTTATATTATATATTCTTTCATTTCTTTTTCTCTCTTCTAATCATTTTTCGAAATCATTATCGAAACACGCCAAAAACTCAAAAAAAAAAAAAACTAACAAAAATCCTTCAAAATATTTCATTTTGAATGCATTTCATTTCGTACTTCAATTCGAAACATTTTTCAAAAAACCGGTAACAAAAATATTGAATAAAAACCGACGGATATTTCTTTCGAAATCGATATCGAACTCGAAATTTATGATAAAATCTCTTAAAAACACTCAACTCCAACAAACAACAACTACAAAAACTCAACAACAACTCAACTACAACAACAATACCATCAAAAATAACCCCCAAATGAAAAAAAAAACATTCTGAATGTACACCTCGATTCTCTCTAAAAAAACAAAACAAAATCTGTTCTATATATGAAACCCCCCGTTTTTCCCCCTTCGAAATGCTTTTATTATCTAACAACTAATTTTATTTAATACTCTAAATATATATTTATGTATTTATAAATATATTTTTTAACTCGATTCGTTTGCATTTCACGTGTGCTTTAAAATAAATCCAAAATCCCAAAAATTTGATAATAATAAATGATCATAATGATCATGTGTAATCAAAAAATTTTTATCGATAAATATTGTAAATAACTGTGAAATTGTACAAATGAAAATGCAAAAGAAAAACGCAAAACGCTTTAAAACAATCGCACGTATCCTCTACTACAATACCGTTACCTATCCCCTACAATCCGTTTCCGACGAGCCCTAATCCGATCCCAATCACCCCCATCCCCAACCTGATCCCGACATCCCCACCATCCTGATCCAAGATCCCATGCAAGTGGGCGGTTTACGAATCGAAGAAACTTTCAAAAATCAAAATCAGTATCACTCCAGTGAGAGCTAGAACTAGAAATAGAATACAGAACCAGAGTCAGAGTTAGTTGAATAAATAAATAATTATATTCTTGGAGCATCGTTTATCGCCTCGAAGGCGGCTTCCATGGAGGTTTCTGAAACCCAATTGTTGAATTCAAGCAACGCACATATGCTTACAATAAATAAAAGTTAACCGACAACCGAAACCCGAAAATCAAAATGCAATTGTTATAGAATCAAGATGTATAATCAAAAGCAAATGTTAACGTTAGGCTAAGTCAATGTTCAGCTGGTACTACCACTATAAAGTCTATAAATATATATTAAAGATACAATCAAAGCTATCAGTTACTAAACAAAAATTACATGAATTTAGTGCTAGATGCCTAGTACTCTATGATATCCCCACAAGAAAAAAAAAATGCTCGTTTTTGTGTCCTACACTCTATAAACTCTAAACAACTGCAACTAAACTGCTTTCACTATCTAGATATATGTATTTGTATCTGTAGATCAAGGCTTTTCGCACCCAAAGTCAAGCTTCTATAACTATACTTCCTCCTGCACTCTGTAAACTTCTATAAGAACACACAGATCTCTATAAGATCTATAAGATATATCTCTCTCACTGACACTGACACTTCGCCAGGCAAGTCGTCCCTCCGACGATAGCCTGAGCTTCTCAGCCTTGTTTTTTGAGAAAACAAAAAACAAATCTCCCAGAGACAGAGAAAAATAGAGAAGAGAATGTGAGAATTGAGATAGTTAAGAAGAGGAGAAACCGCACACACAGAACCTTGTAATCCCAATCAACTAACCTAATGATAGTGCGACGTTTTACAGTCGCCTTCTTTCAAATTTTCACGAAAGGCCTCGTCGTCGTACTCGCTGAAATTGGATCCCCCGGGCAAGGGCAAAGTGAAGGCCAAGAGAAAGCCGCTCAGCACACCGGCATCGCCGTCGCGCGTCCGCCAGGAGCCCCAGTGCACCTGCATGTCCGCGGAGCAGTATGCGCGCCTGCGTACCGATCCCCGTGTTAGAGGTGAGAGAACAAGCCAGCCAGGATGCCATGTCCCCCCTTTTTCTTCCCCGTTCTTCATTCTTTCGTTTCTTTTTTTTTTCTTTGAGTTTAAATGCTTGCTCCGTATATCCGTATATGTATCCGAATATCCGTAAATCCAAAACTCGAGCTTAGCGAT